ACCCCAGGAAAAGGTTGTGATTGACATGATAGACTATGTCAAGAAAATGTCTCAGAGTTTCCAGTGGACTTTGGGCAATGAAAAAGGTACCAAGTGCAGCTCCTGCTGACCTTTCAGCTCTGGTGATGGAACCACCTGAATGACAAAAACAGGGAGACTTATCATACCTTTGCAGCCAAGCTGTTGTTTCTGTGCAAGCGTGCTCGACCAGATGTGCAGACTCTCACTACTGTGTTATGCACTCGTGTCAGAAGCCCAACATCTGATGATTGGACAAGTTGGTCCAAGGCCTCAAGTTTTTGGATCAGACGGCGCAGGACAAGTTGATCCTACACATTGATGACATACGCATCATCACTTGGTGGGTGGATGCATCATTTGCAGTCCATCCTGATTACCGTTCCCATACAGAGGAGTCATGTCCTTTGGGAGTGGCGCGGTGCTGTCTGTGTCTGCGAAACAGAAATTGAATTCGAGGAGCAGCACGGAAGCGGAATTGATTGGAGCTGACGATGTCATGTCGCCCATGTTGTGGGCAAAGTTGTTCCTAGAAGAGCAGGGGATCGTTGTGAAGGACAACATCCTCATGCAGGACAATAAAAGCACGATCATCCTTGTAGAGAATGGCAAAGGCAGTTCGGGCAAAAGGACTCGGGCCATCAACATTCGTTTCTTTTTCATTCATGATCAGATTGGAAAAGGAAACCTCAGAGTTGTGTACTGCCCAACCTTGGAGATGCGTGGAGACTTTTTCACGAAGCCTCTTCAGGGCAAGCTCTTCCATGAGCACAGGGCTTTCATCATGGGGCATCCACCCCTTGTTTGATTTCCTAAATTATTTATTCGTTCCACGGTAGCCACTTAGGGCACCGTGCAGGAGTGTGTTGGAGGAAATATACCTGACACCTCTTTACTATTGACTCGTGTATTAATCATCTAGTCCGGTTCGCATGCAAATTCATCATGCAAGGAACCAAGGGATTTTTAGGTCTAAAGTGTTACGGGGGTCCTTATATCCAATTCAATCACAAGAATTGCTATGCACCACCAGAAAATCCTCACTTTTGCTTTTCAGCTTAATCTAAAACCAAATTACTCCCCAATAAGCTGCAGTATTACTAGCAAACAACATATATGAACAGGCAGGCCCTGTACAATTGAACAGGCGTCGCTATCATGTTCGATTGCACAGGAAATGGACGTTTTTGAATTCAGGCAAAAAAATGGCTGGCCTTGCTCTCAATCTGCGGGCTTCCTCCCTTTTCATATGCACAGCACCTCGCAGTAAATGGTGGAAAAGAGTGATTTGGTTGAAAAGGGGGTAAAATGACAATTCAAAAAAGGACACATCGTCTGATAATCGTCTGAAAGAACTCAGCCATTTTTCAGACGATTGTTAGATAAATATAAGTCAGCTGTCAGACAATCGCTAAATCCTCCTTTTGACAATCACTAATTCTTTAAGACAATAGCTGGTTACTGTCAGTCATTATCCGGCACTGCGTACATCCCAGTACTAGCTGTTCCGAGTCATTCGCCAATAATCGTCTGAAAAAAGGGGACTCGCCAATTATCGTCTGACAGAAATCGTCTGAAGGCCAATAATCGTCTGAAAGAAATCGTCTGAAGGAATTGTCTTAAAAGACAGTTGTCAGACGATTAAAGAGATCATCTTATGACTGTCTGATATGACTTAAGGCTTTTCAGCTTAGGAAATTGAAATCATCAAAAATAGTTTTTTACATAAATTACAAGACCAAATGGAGACATTTCCCTCGGGGATGAGCAAAATTGCTTATTGGGCTACATTACATTGCATTGGTTTCCACACTATTCATATCGCCAAAGTTACCAGTATATTGAAATAATGGAGCAATTGACTTAATACCAACCTAAAACGTCAGTTAAAAATTAATAATTCGCAGTTTGGCTGGCAAATGAGTTCAATTGGATTGGATTGGTTTGAATTGGATTGGATTCAATTGGATCCATGAAAGTACTGTTATTTGTATCGTAAATACCAATTCAATGCAATCCAATCCAATTCAATGCAATCCAATGCAATCCAATGCAATCCAATCGAACAAACCTGCCAAAGTAAAAAATTGGCTACTTTTTGCACAAAACTGTACTGCTTCGTGTACCGTACGATAGTAGTATGTGGAATTCACACCCAAACTACATGTATCATTTCTACGGTATCGAATCGAGTACACTACAGCACTATAGCGTTCCACATGCTTTGGATTGCAAACGTGGCGGCTTAATCATCCGTCGCCATACTGAAATCCGCAATGAACTTGGTTCTATTGCGTGTGAATGCTTTGGTTCCTCTAGCGTCCAGTCGGAACCTCCCCTTCCATCTGTTCCCGCCCCTACTATCCCTGCCGGTCACCCAATTTCCACCTTACCTCCCCTTCCTCCCCCCCCCTCTCAATCCCCCTCCAGCCCCCGAGCTCTTACGCGGTGATCTTTCCATTCGCGGCTTCTTCGAATGTGGTACTACAGCTATTATTGACGTACGTGTCACTGATTTGGACTGTGCCTCTTACCGAAACAAAGATCCCGTCAAAGTGTTAACCCAACAAGAACGCGACAAAATTTCCAAATATAAAGAAGCGTGCGACTCAATCGCGCTTCCTTTCATCCCTTTGTTGTTTCTGTGGATGGCATGCTTGCCCCCCAAGCCAAGATTCTTCTTACAACGGCTTGCTTCTGCTGCTGCCTCCAAAACTAATTTTCCTACTCTCAAATGATGTTTTTCATGCAGACCCGTATCTCAATTGCCCTTGTGAAAGCTACCCATTTATGTCTCCGTGGATCTCGCAAAGCAAACCATTTGGCCCCCGTACTGGTCCTCAATTTCTGCCCCTGATCCCACAGAACCTAGTCCTGAATTTCGACTGTTCTTTGCTTAAGCCTTGGCCCCGGCTGGCTTCCGTAGATAATTTCCCTACTCTAGTCCCCCCTTAACAGAACTATAGCAACATTTGCCCAGGTGCAGGCTGCATGTAGTGCTCTCTACCCCCTGCCTGTACTACTGTAGTACAGCCTACAAGTACCGGGATCGCTAATGTTGCTAATGTCGCAAATGCTGCGAATGAATCCACCAGTACTACCGGTAGCTAGTAGTAAGGCCGCTCTCTACCGGAGGGACTAAAGTAGCGACTAAAGGAATCATTTAGGTGGTTGTTTAGTTCAAGATTTAGTCATTATCCTTTAGTAATGGTGGTGTCTACCAGCAGATGACTAAATCTCGGACTAACAATTTAGTCAGTTCTTTAGTCATTTGGACCTGTCTACCCAGAGCACTAAACAAATTGACTAAACGGAACACTAGTGGACTTAAAGGACTCAAAAAGATTTAACAAAAGTGATCACTTGTGGGCTACCAATATTCTATCAGCAGGTGGATTTAAAGGACTCAAACAAAGACTTAACAGAAGTGATTACTTTTTTGAGATAACAAGACTGAGATAACAAGACTCAAAACACACCATTGCGCTACTACCGGTATCATTCAGTCAAAGCCGAGAAATGAAAGCCATCCCGCACTCCATACTCTGCAATGAGGGATGGCTTTCTATTCTCAACCGAAGACTGTCGGCTTGATAAAGTGCGATAGAGGTGCGGCTGATACTCCTCTTCGATCGTTGTCGATCGTTCGATCTTCGATCTGCACCTCTACTATGGCCGATACTCCTCTTCGTTCTTTCGATCGTTCGATCGGTTGCACCTCTACTATCGGCCGATACTCCCTCTTGATGTATCGTTCGATCGCACCTCTACTCTATCAGCTCTGTCGCGATGCTCTGATGTGAGGCTGTGCAATGAGGGTGCTGTTCTTTTTTTAAAGTGCTTTCTTTTAAAGAGTTCTTAAAGAGGCTTTAGTCGTTACGCTCACTCACCGACTAACCAGCCTCCCCGTTAGTCGGTGAACCAACCTTGTGACTAAAGGCTTTAGTCCTTTGGACGTTTAGTCCCTTGGGTAGACACCACCCCAAGAGACTAAACTATCGACTAAACCATGAAATATGGCTTAGTCGCTACTTTAGTCCCTCCGGTAGAGAGCGGCCTAAGCACAACAAGAGCAGCCAAGAGCACTGGAAGACAACTTTGGGATTCAGGTAGATGTGGTAAATATATTTTAAAACAAATATTCGGAGTAAAACATATCTTTAACCTTATATTTACCGCAACTACTCATCCAAAGCTGTCTTCCAGAGGACGAAGCTGGCCACTGGATGGCTATCTACGGTATCGTACTAGTACCCGTACTAGCTAATACGGTACTCAACCAGGATCAGTGACTTCTTTGTGACCACACCACTTCCCTTCGTTTCGGACCTACAGCTCTCCAAAAAAGCTTGTTTCATAGCCTTTGGAAACTAAACTGACCAACAGTACGGTAGCCATGAGCACGATGATGAACAACAGGCAAGGCCGCTATTCGGAAATGGTGGAGGAACTGGTACGGGAGAAACTCGTGGCGACTCGGCTTCAGAATCCTTTCATGGTGTTGAGCAACGACGAAAAGATCTGGGCATTGCAACTCAAACTGGCGGCGCAGCAGGAGCAATCATCCAGTAATGATGAAGATGATAACGAAATGTTTAATCTGTCTGACTTTGAGTATGCGCAGCATGCCATAATCGCACAAGGTAACATTCAGGAGGCGATGGATCGAATAGAAGGAATGCACCACTTTCGTAAGGAATACGGCATTGATCATAGTGGTGATCAGATTGCCTATTATCTTCAAGAAATAATGAAGCAACAACCGGGATATTTGCTGCATCTAGATAACAACCCAAATACGAACGACGGAGTGATTGCCATTGATGCCGCTAGGTGGGATCCCGTGAAAGCTCTGACGCATGATACCAACAATGCGAACAAAGATCCCGAGTTTAATTGGAAAGTCTCATTGATTGGAGTCTACTATATGCACTATGTGGTGCAACCAAGTCTGGCATCGATCCGGCAGGGCCTTTTGACACTTGTCGAATGCGATGGAGTGTCCTGGAGAAACTTTAGTATCCAATGGGACAATCGCTTTCACGGCGAAATGTTTGGTAACTTGCCCGTGAAATTCAAGGCTTGTTTGGCGTACAACACGTCCATGATTGCCAATCTGGTATTCAGCATGATGAAGCCCATCATGCCAAAGTCCATGAAAGATAGCCTGCATTTGGGATGCTCTCTCTTGGGGTCGGATGAGGCTCCCACCAACCTCCGACTGGGCGACGTATACCTCCAACCTTCACGCGAGGTGGTGCAACGAGCCATTGTACAACGTGCCATGGGTCTCACAGCCCAACGGCGCTTTCACGAGATGACTTTCAAATTGGAGTAATGAATTGATTGTTTAAGAGAAGGCGATGCATCAAACAATTGCGAGTATTTTTAAATAAATATTGGGGATGTCATGGCAAGGGATCTCTGTACTACACTTCTTGTCCGAGCTTGGACAGAGGGGCAGGGTTTTCCTTTTGCTTCTTTCCGTTCGTGGTGGCATTTTTGCCTCGCTCAATCAATTCTACGAGGTGCATCCCATCAGAGGCTACAAATATCTTTCAAACCCTTCTAAAACTAGTATCTACAATTATTACCACTTCGTTGCAGGATGATCTTTCGGTTCAAAGACTTCACACGCCTGCTTGTAGCCGAAGGCAGAACGATTCGATGCGATTCGATGCGATTCGATTGAATATTCATCCTTGGATCGAATGATTCAACGACGAATCAACTCCCAACCCCGTCCAGCTCCCGGTTCGGTACAGATACAGTAGTCTACGGAAAAGACAGGATAACACATACGGTGATACGTGTAGAGCCTCGTATGTCACTGTACTGTAGGGTGGTATTCCTGCAGCTATTCCTGCTTTGTCAAGGTGGTTAGTCTATCTTACCGTAGCGGCACTAGCTAGCTAGCCGCTCTGCTAGCTAACATAATTTTGTTCAAGAGAATGTGCGCATGTGTGCGCATGCTAGGATACGCGCTTTCGTTTCTTGAACCAGCTTGTACCAGTCTGTTCCTACGGAAGACAAGGCGTTGTCAGTGCATCTACTCATAAGTCTACCAAAGCAAAGGTAAAGATGGCTAATTTTCCTGAAGCGTCGTAGCTCTATTCTTCTTACCGTAAGTGGCATCTTTGCCGTTCGAGCATTCGACCACTGACATTACATTTTACATTTATTTATTTTATATCCTTTACAGTATATTTTCTACACGTAGTGATTGCGATTAAGGTGATGTTCTTGTTTACTAGTAAAACTGAAGAAGAGCTGAAGAAAGTTCCAGCAGGCTTGAGAGTTCTTACTGCGATAACACTTCAACACACACAGGGAGGTTGGGAAATCCAAGTAAGATACCGCTAGTAGCTCCGGTACCGGTAGTACGAGTGCTGGTACCGGTATCATACCAGTAGGCCTCTAGTAGTGAATAGCTGTTTGGTTCTTGCAGATTTTAAAGCGAAAACTATCGAATCATTCAACTTGGATGCACCTTCTATCATACCGGTACGGGTTGTCGTTGTTTGCGGTCCCTCTACAAAATCACTTCTCTGGATTGCAGGTTTTGTGGTCGAGCAAACCGCAGGAGGCGAACTGTTGCGGAATGGTAGGTACAGCTCTAGGTACCGGTACCTGGTACCGATATAATTGCGGTACCGCTGGAGGTACCGTACAGAAGGATCAATCAAACTATCGGCATCAACAAGAAATACAAACCTGGTGCATAATTAGACTGTCACTCCCGTGGTACACAGGCAGGCACTGACATGGCGCTCCTCAAGTAGATCTAGCTAGTGTCCCTCCGCGGTAAACCTTTGCAAGATGTAGCAGAGATTGCTAGCTACTCAGAGTAGACCTAGCTAGATTCCTCCACACCCCTGATTCATTTTCATACTGGATACGTACGTATTACCAAGGCATCTTGAATACTCACCATGGGTCTTACCATTGTGCTCCACAAACCACAAACCCTTCAAGGAAGACTTTGGAATTATTTGAAGAGTGGTACAGGTTCCCCTTACCCCCCCCCATACAGGCAGTACTGCAGTAGCTACTGCAGTTTATTATATTATTGTTATATTATTGTTCCTACCGGTCCTACCGCAAGTTTCGCGGTCATCTTGTTCGGTCATCGATCAATTGTAGTCACTGCATCAACCTTTAAGTCAATGGACAGCACAGGTAAAGACTCCTTATTTTCCTCTTCCGTCGCAGTTCGTTTCTTCTTACCGTTGGTAGCGTCCTGGCTGTCCAACCATTTATATCCTTTACATACCATTTCTACAGTAGTAATTGAGGTAAGGAGAATTCTTTTGCAAGACCTATCGTGAACTCAATATTAGTAGCTATATTAGTAAAGTACAGTATCGTAATTCTATGGTTCCTAAACATCAGTCCCAGCAGGACGGAAATAAGTTCTTACTGCTTTCTTACTTCAATACGTTGAGGGAGGTTGGGAAATGTGTAAAGTGCAAAATACAAAATACATGTACTGGTAGCTAAAAGAAGGGGATTCAATTCTGGTTCTTGCCTGTTGGTTAACGATTAACGCTCAATGATTGCTCAATGATTAGTGGTGTTGTTAACATATCTAAAAACTACTGCGCCGGTGGCATGTTGCTTTTACTTCACTGCTTCCAACACCTGGCACTATTGGCACAGGTGAAGGAGTAGCCTGTTGGATGCGTCTGCAGCAACCAACCCGTGTCGGTACAGTCCTCGCGTGGGTCAATAGTAGTCTCTGTTTGCTTCCGTATCGTACACAATCACTACGACCTGCTTTGTGATACGCTGTACCAGAGCAAACACACCGGATGGTACCGATATCAGTACCGTACCGTTTCAGGTGTGGGGCCAAAACTACCAAGAAGCAAAGAAACTTACTTTGAAACCTGATGCTTACTACTAGATGATCACTCTAGCTACCCGGTAGTACTGGTTCACAGGCAATGACATGTTCGGTATCCTCAATCTGATCGTCAGCATGAAGCTAGCTAGCTAGGTACGGGATACTATTCGTAGATCCCCCCAAAACGAAATAGAACGGATGCGTCCTCCACCTGTCTCGCATTGAGCAGGTTATCGGTCGTACTGTATGAGGCTTTCCTCCAAACCCCTGAACTAAAACCATAGTTATTACCATAGCACCTTGAATACTTACCATACTTCTTACCAATAATGTTCCAAAAACGTCGCACGGAAGACTTACTTTGTGAAGTAGTTCTCCATCCATTCGGATCCGAAGGGGCAGTTTTCGTACCACTGAGATACTATTGATACAGTAGTCTACTAGTACCGGTCAAGTAGTCCGGTCATCTCTTTTGGGGCAGTCATCGCTTTGCTTTGCTTTACTTTGCTTTACTTTCCCCCAACGAACGTGCTGATGAACGAGACAACCCTGAACACCAGAAGCCACTGAAACCCAGCCACTTACTTCCAGGTTCTTTGCTCGGGTCTAATCCTACAATAGTCTTGCCAAAGAAGGGCCATTCCAATTCCTTACCTTCTTCAGACGGCGAGCTACCCATCTCACACTTCAGTTCCTTAGTTCCTTTTCTTGCCATATCCAAGAGCTCAGCCAAGCTCAGCAAGCTAAGATTGATCAGGTGCTACGGTGCAGCTTAGGGGTACTAGTATCATCCATCCTTGCATCCATAAGTTACCATGATGATGAATGAGCAGCATCCCAACAACAACGCCATGATGAACCAACAGCAAGCGCAACAGCAAGCACAGCAGCAGCAGCCGGCACTGACGTTCAGCCATGCATTGAGGCACGCCATGACCCACCCGGTGGATCCGACCATGGTGCTGAGCGATCAGGAACGGCACTGGGCCCTCGAACTCAAACGCGCCGTCACTCAGAGTGAGCGGTTGGATCTGAAGCGTCCCCTCAGCGACTTGGAGTTGACGCAACACGCCATGATCGCCCGTGGCAATGTTATCGAGGCGCTGGTAAGGATTGAAGGCATGGAGCGATTTCGTCGCGAATACGACATTCAAGATAGCCTGGAACAGGGCATGTACTTTATTCGACAGTTCATGAAGCAACAACCGGGCTATATCCTCCACTTTGACGTGAATCCGCAAACATACGAAGCTGTCATGGTCTCGGACAGTGCCGCTTTCTCCCAGCGATCTGCCTTTGGAGAGAACACGTCGGAAAATGCCTGGCGGATCTGCGTGGCCAGCATTTACTACTATCATTTCGCACTGTTACCGACGTTGGCCACCATGCGACGAGGGGTATCCGCGACCGTCGAATGCGACGGTGTTGGATGGCACAACTTTCGGGTCGAGTACGTGTCGCGGTTGTTTGAAGAAATGTTTAGCTACCTGCCGGTCAAATTCCTCGAATTGCGAGCCTACAATACCTCCTTGGTCGCCAATCTACTATTCAGCATGGCACGGCCCTTCATGTCGGCCAGTATGAGAAAGAGCGTTCAATTGGGACATCGAATAGAAGGGTCCGATAGCGATACAGAGGGGCCACGACGGTTATCCGAGTTTTATCTACAACCCAACTTGGAAATGGCACAGCATCGAATCTTGCATCAATTCCAAACATTCCTCTCCATTCGATTGTACCACGAAAAGAACTTTCGATTGTGTTGTGCTTAACAAACATATGTCAAGCAACAATGCAACAATGCAACAACCACTCAACAAATCGCTGGTGGACAATGTACAAAACAAAAAGAGCCAGCATAGCACGCTATAGATAGTTAGTTGTTTCCCCTCGAAGTAGCTAGTTAGCTACCGTAGTAGAGGCAGGACCAGGCCAATCGAGCAAATCTTACTTGCAAGTCTAACAACCAATAAGCTCGCGAGTTATCATACTAGTAGAACCACAGCGTTTCAAACAATATCCGATTCTAGTTAGTAGTTAGTCCCATATATTATTATGCATCTTTGTTTATATTAGTGATTTGATTGGTGCTTCAAATCACCCTTTGCTTCTTGCTTATCAGAGCGGCAGTGGCTACACCAAAGATTGCGAGGAACAAGATGAAAATGCCCATGGTGTCTGTGCGTCTTACTTGCTGTGGTTTGTTGCTTGTTTGCTTCTGGTAGCTACGTCTTGAGTTGTTGCTTGCTTGCTATTGCTTCTTGTAGAGGATACGGTACGAATTGAATTCTGTAGCTTGGGGTCTTTGAAAGTGCTGTAGTTTTCTAGTACTAGACTAGTAGTTCTTTGGATAGCTTGGGGTGATTTGCGACTTTGAATTGTGAGAAGGTTTGTATTGTGAGCCTCTTTGGGTTGGTGGAGCTCTTCCTTGCTTGGGTGTCGGTTCGGTGCGATTGCGGTTGCGTGGAAAGAAAGTAAGCGCGAATGACAGTGGGACTGAATTACGATGTCGTCACCATCGAACTGGACGGAGCCGACGACGACTCGACTCCCGACAACGGTGAAAGTCATCGATTTATTTTGCTGGAATGATCGAGGCAAGGACTCAGTTCCCACATCCGATCATGTCTGCAAACGAGGCACCATGATCGAATTGTTTCCAAAACATGGTGAAATAAGAGGTGGCGCCAACCGTCGGCTGGAACACTATAGCTACGGTCGTTAGTCTACTAGCGAATTGTGGCTGAGCTGGAACAACCTGTGGCTACGAGCTACCGTTTTTAGACCCAGATGTCGTGAACGAGCGAGGACATGTCGCGTGCATGGCTCATTCGAAGCACTACGGTAGATTTAATCCGTGCAAATCGGCTCTAGCTAGCTAGAACCGAGCGCCGCTGAGCGAGTGGCTGCATTTATTGATTGTCCAAGGAAAGCTTCCCTTTCTGACTAGCTTCGCTTCAAGAGGGGGCTAGTATTCTCTTTTAAGCGCTTTCGGAGTGCCTTTGTTTTGACGTGCTTCATTTGAAGCTCCCGGTCAAGGCGATGACTAGCGGTACCAGTTACAAGTTGGTGATGTCGGAGAGTACCGCTGCATGTATTTGCAATGAGATATAAAGCAACAGGGCTGTAGAGTTTCTGTCGACGAGGTGCGTGCTTCTCTACCGGTACCAGTACTGTATAACCAAAATACAACGGTAGTCACATGGTCGAGGGTATCAGTCTTTGGGGGATCGCACTGGTTGGTGGGACTTACCCTGTAGTCATAGTAGCCAGTTCGCCCCTACTTAGGCTTAAGTATGCCTATGCTTTATTGGGGTATGGTAATACGATAAGCTTTGTGAGGGTATTCTGCCGGGGAAAACCAGGCATTTGAGGGTATCCGATACTACTCAGAATCGCATTGGTAGTTGCATCGACAACCCCAAAATACAACTTTTCGCCTAAGTATCTTTAGCAATCGTGCATGAAATACAACCTAGTCACACACAAATGTTCCGCGAAACTCGAAGACTTAAGGGTCCGGAACGCTTCTCTTAGTACTGAGAGAGAGTAAACTCTCAATGCTACCCTCCGAATCAACGCATGTATCCCATGTACGTGGGACTTTGCCGTTGGATATCAGAGCGATCTTCATTACTCCGATCGATCACTCCTCTCATTCCTCTCATAAATTTGGGTATCCAAAGAAAAAGGCGAAAGCTATGCCATATTTGTCGCTCATCGCTCCTCGCTATTTTGTTATTATCCTACTCGCTCTTTTGTTGCCGTCGACAATGGCGAGAAAGAGGAAGTCCCTTGACCAACAATACCGGCCGGCCCTCACCAGGTTTATGTCTTGGAAGCATGGCCGGCAGACACCCTACCATAGCAAGAGGACCTTTACGCAGGTATGTTCGCCAAATCTGTCATTTCGCTGATCGATCGAACATCGTCACTGGTTTCGCTGATCATTAACTCACACCATGGTCGCTCTTCTTCATTTTTCTTCAGGACCAGCTCCTAGAAATTACCCCTACTGATGTCGCCCAGTTCCTCAACTTCCTAGCCTATGGAAAGATCAACCCAGGGCCCAATGACCGCCCCACCCACAAGAGATCTACCACTCTTGAACAATACAAGAAGGCCATCAGCCACTTCCATCCGAACCGCCACGCATCATGGGCTGTTGGTCCCAATGTTGGGAATCCCACTCGATCCAGGATTGTCAATGAAGTGATCAAAGCTGTGAAGAAGGCTGAGGTCAGGAAGCAGGGCAGGAAATCCAATGTCAAGAGGGATCTCAAGATCCGGGAATTCCGCAAGACCATTCGCATTGTGGAACGCGATGGAGGAGCGAACATTGACACGACGATCAAGATCCCAACCATGTTGAAGGTTCAGTTTCACTTGATTGGCCGCACTGATGATTTGACCAACATGGAGACTTTGGATTTGCGCAGCCACTCGAAGTTTCCAAACTTCGCTCTTGAAACCAAGGTATCCTGGAGCAAGAATGTCCAGGAGGAGCGTGCTTGCCTGAACCAAATCATGCTGGGTGCCGCTGACCCTGACTTTTGTGTCCTGATTGCCTTGGCTATTTGGATCGAGACTCGTCTTGAGAGGGGACACGGTGATCCCAAGTTTCTGTTTGGCCATTACCGTGTCGACGATGAAGAAGCGTTCCTTGCCGCCATCGAAGCTCTGGACAACGACGAAGAGCTTGATGAGACGACGATTGAGACGGAGCCTGACCGAGTCAACGCCTGGTACAACGGGCTTTGAAGAAGGCTTGAAGGACCCTGAGTTCGTGGAGCTCGCGGCTCAAGTCCAGGGAAGCCTTGGTACCCACAGTGTGCGCAAGCTGCCTCCAACCTACGCTGCCGAGTGTGGGATTACCCAAGCCGAGAATGAGACTCGGGTCGCTGGAAGGGAGAGAAGAATGGACACATCGTCCATGTTTACATCAACCTGGAGCAGCTTCCCACCGACGCAAGGTTGCTGGAACGCTCGCTGTTGGTGGTCCCGTCAAGTACAGCATCAAGGCTGATAGCGGTGTTGACCATGGGTTCATCGGTGAGCATGTCTGTCCGAAGATCTGCGACTTCTTCGCTGACGACCCAAGCAACAACATCGCCATGGTGCTTGGTCCAGCCTTGCTTTGGGCTGCGATGGAACTGGCTTGGAGCATATGATGACGGCTGAGATTCGCAACCGCATCCAGACGGAGTATGCCCAGCTTCGAACCACTTTGGATGAGGATCCTGGGGCCGACTACAACCCAGTGGCA